ATCAAGAATAAGGTAAGCACTTGACAGATTTTCTTGTTACTTGAGGTGCTCATCAAGTACTATCTATCTACATTAACATGTCTCTATTTCTCGAGTTTTTATGATATACTTTTGTTATTTGAATATAAAGGAATTCGATCTAACATGTAAAAAAAGAGCTATCGTAATTAATTTTGTTTAATTGTGCTTCAAAATTACTAATAAAATAGTCAATCAAAAGCTGGACTCCTCATAGAGTATGTATTTTAGTAATATGAAACATCGAGTAGGAACGATCATTCGACAAGAATAAAACCAAGTGTCCGCCTGCTGTTTACTTAAACTTTACTGACGATTACTAGCAATAAATATGCATTGCTTTCATTTTTGTTACATTGTAATTACAGATCACGTCAAAAAGAGTTCCAATATTTGCATAAGTGACTTGAGTTACTTCTTTATTCTAAAGAATCTTATACAATACCAAATGTAAATAATTTGAGATGCAAACAGTAATATATAACTATTGAAATCAAAGACAAGGAAAAAAACAAAAAAGAGAACTGGAATGTTTCTTAAACATGAAGTAAGCTGTGAGGTTGAAGAAAATTTTCTTCGGCAGTGCGAATCATAACCTAGAAAACAAACGTATATATTTTTTTCTTTTTAATAAGTTGATTATTTACATTGTGTTGTCTATTGGTAGCTGGGAACCTTAAATTATTCGAAGAGTTTGGTGGTTAGTTGTTCGACAACGTCGAAAAGCCAAGTATATTAAACTGGCAGCCAGTCCGAAAAATGTCAATTTAGTTACTAGCATGTTAAGAGATCATTTATGAATGGGAGGAAATTGACGAGTGGTAGGAACTGTTATTGGTTGACGTAGATCGTTTATGATCTCCTGCATTCTTTGCTCAGTCCAATTTGTCTTAAACCATGTAGTATTATCGGTGAGGTGTCGAGAGACATCCACGATAGACATATTAGTAGAGACTAGCCCCTATTGTTTAGGATTATGAGCGAAGAGACATTAGAAGTTCTTGGGCGGCCTACCAAAGTGAATCCAGGGCATAAAATTGTGTAACCTGGAGTTACGTTGACAAGAGCTACCGGTGGAAGAATTATTTGCTGGCTTATGTTCAAAGTTTGGTGATTACTAGTTCGATATTCGATTTTTGGAATTTTTAGACAATGTAGCGATTCAGATGAAGAAGTCACCCAAACGTTATCTGTCAGCTGTCGAACAAAAACTCCGAAATGGGAGACATATTTTGCATGACAACTGAACAATGGAAGACTTCCTATGATTTGACCAAGACAACTATCTTTTGAGATTGTACGTAATGGTGGAGTATCACGGCATGATGTCATCAATTGGAGGTTGCATCCGGATTCTTCAGGATCATGCCATTCCATAGTAGTGTTGTCTGTTGGGTTTATTTCCCAGTATCGAGGAATATGAGAGAGTTGAATAGTTCGATTCTTATGTAGGTAGGGCATCGTCAATAATTTGTAGACGTGAAATGATGTTTGTTCCTGTTGTGGAACGGCAAAAAAACTAGTGATGACAAGACGACCTATTTCCTGTGGATTCTGATTTTTATATTGTGAACTGGGAATGAAGTCTATCTGTTGACGAACGAGAAGTTTAGTAATGATTTCGACAATGGAAATCGATCCATGGTGAGCATTAAAAGTTAGATTTCCTTGCTCAGTAACGTGGTATACTACTTTCTGCAGATCATTTGGTGATAAAAAAATTCAAAGTGAGTTGATTACGAAAGATCTGGGCTATTGCTAAGTAGATGAAGGAGCGTTGGAAATTAATGTGTAATCGTTCTCTGCCAGCTTTAAGCGTATTCAGAGCCTGGGAATGCGAATCTAGAACAGGTATCATATCGTTAATGGCATGTTGTGTTACTTGAAGTTGCTCTGAAATTTTGATCTGGTTCAGTTGAATTTTTGCTAGTTTTGCTTCATGTATTTGAATCGTTTGCGAGAATTCTGATAGAGTGTTTTCAATCATTTCAACCTCTTCTTGAAGATTTAGCAGTTGTATGCTATTTGCTATAGATAGATCCATACTTATGATTCCAACACCTAAACTGATGAGACGAGAACGTGAACGCTTGTACCTTTGTGTCGTAACGTTACATGAAGGAATGTCTGCCGCATCTGATAGAGGTAAAAGATGGCATGCTTCTGTCGTCATCGGAAAAATAGCCGAGTTATGAATTATTGTGTTAGACGGTTTATACAGTCCCACATAATCAAAGAATAGACCTGCTTTAAAATGGGCAATTGTGGAATTCTTCCAAAAGCTTTCGTCAGAATGCGAATAAACAGTTAAAGGAAGTCTGCTCAGAAGGGATAGGAGTACTATGAGATAATATTTCATGACTGACGTTGAGTTATGTACTTCCGACATTTGTTAGTAATTAATTTTGATCAACACTATTGATAAAAGAAAGTGAAGACGCTTTCTTGAAATATCTAAAATAAATAAGCAAAGAAAGAATTAACGAAAGAGATGAAAAAGATGAAAGAGACGAAAGTGGCACTTAGTGATGTATATAAAATATGCAATATATTTTATTGTTCATCATCTATGATGGATCTAGCCTCTCTCAATATGTTTATTTTGACAAGCGGAAATTCTCATTTTGATCATTGAAGAAGGCGTGTAACTATCATTAACAATAGATTTTGCATAAGCATTGACAATCATACTCGCATTCACATTCATATGACCTAGAAAACGATTTATTAACATGCCAACAATAAAGCATAGAATAGGAAAACAAATCTGGTGTTTTCTCAAACAATCAAGTGATATTGAAAAGTTTGACACAATGAATATATTTCAGACTCATCGGCAAAAAATTTTCAATGTGATATGAAATCGATCTACAAAAAGTACTCTTGTTTTTTTAGTTACTCATGCACGTACTAAAACATAAATCCTAATGTTTTTTATTAAAGGATTCAATAATCTTTACTGATTTCAAAGCAATACATGAAAAAAAAGTACATTTATTGTTGCATATAACGATATAATTGTAAAAAATTGGAAACAATGTGTAAACAAGATTAGTGAAAATTTAATCTTCAGTATTCTGTAAAATAAAGGATAGAGATAAGTGGAGTATTTATTTTTAAGACATAAAGATAAAGTATAGAAACAGAAGACGCCTTTTTCGAGTGATGATAATGATTTTGGAAATACTCGAAACCGCAGAAATAATGTTCAGAAGAGCGTAGATGTGGATGTGTGACAGTGGATGCGAACAAACAATCTGCATTCACACCAGCATTCTTTGCATGTGTCACTAAGAATAGAAAATTCTACTCCAATCATAATTGAGGGTGTGGGTGTGAGTACCAAGTAGAATCACAGTTGCACCCAGACGCGACCATTACCCTCACCCATCCTCCCCCACACCCTTTTGTATTTTTCAAATTTTACTGGTGCTTTAATAATCTATCGCAGTGCACTGATGAGTGTTTCCAATTTTTAAATAAATAAACATGAAACGCATTGGTGAAATTAACTCTGCATTTTCTAACTGATTTCTTCATTCAAGCTCATAATTTCAAATAATTGTTACGACTTTAATCGGTAGCTGAAAAGCAAGAGTTGAGACTAGCAGATTGATTTGGATCTGAAAAGGATATAGGTCGGTGTGTTTTTGTTTGATTTATAGCTATGAACACACCAGCTAAAGATGATTCTGCTTCTTTCGAAGTAGTTTTGACATTAAGTATTGATTCTCTCGAAAATTTCATTCGAGATTCGAATATTTTATACCAATATCCTATGCCACTGGATAAGATTTCAGCAAAATCGAAAATACCTGGTATCGTGGTAGCTATGAACACACCCACACCGAAATTGTCGCAAATGCGTTTAAATTATCATTTAACGCTGAGTTAAAATTTAGAAAAAGACGATTTTGCCATTTTCTTACTCAATGGGGACGAGCGAAAGAAAATATGAGATAATTTTTTCGTCATTTCCTCGCGCGCCGCATCCCTCCACTATCGAAAAGAATAACGGAAAGTTTTTATCGCTGAAGCAGGTTGAATATTTTTTCTCTTGAAAATTTCCCCATTTCCTCTTCATACGTCAACGATGCGTAGTAGGAAAAACCAACGAAAAATAACATCATATTTTCTTTCGTTACTTCCTACTCCTCGGAAATAACATTGTCATGCCTGAATGAATTCGGCCCTTTCGCTGTATATATATGTAAGAGTTACTCGCAAATGATATATTATTGGTGACAATTACGGTATCGAATATCGTGTACGAATATTAAAATACAACTGCTTTTCAATAAACAAACAAGTGCCTTCACTAAGTTGAAAATGTCTACTACACGTGGTTATGGGCGTTCTGGTTATGTTGGTCATCGCGGTGATTCTACTTTTAGTAGTAATTCGACTCCTTCTAATGATTCTGGTGGTTCTAGTAATGCTCCTTATGTTGGTTTTTTTAATGATCCTTATTGTAATGGTACTCTTGGTGGTTCTTCTGGTGGTAGTGGTGGTGGTGGTAGTAGTTCTTGCGGTGGTGGTGGTAGTTCTTGCGGTGGTGGTTGTAGTTCTTGCGGTGGTGGTGGTAGCTCTTGTGGTGGAGGTAGTAGTTAGAAAAGTCAGGTATGTTCTGGCATATAAAAAGTGTCGACTATAACTCATCAGAGAATGCAATGTACTGATGTAAATTTTCTGAAAAGCATAAATAACTAGATGGTAGTCGAGTTTTACTCGACTATGAGATGCGGTGCGAAGCACACGAGCCGAATTTTCGAAAGCAGCGAGGGTAAGATTAAAGAGATAAATGATCCACTTTAATATTCATCAGAATCGTTTATTTCTTTTTAATTTTTGTATACGAATTTTGAATAAAAACTTCGCATTCACTATTCTTAAATCGATCATTTTGAAATTCGTCACTAGGAGATCTCTCTGAAAATGTAACAATCAGTTTTCTAACGATTATTTTCATTGAACGATTTTCTATTTTCATGAGTCATTATCTTGATTCAGATGTAAAGTAATAGACTATTAGCTAACAATTATTGATGAGGTCATTTTAATTAGATGGTATTTAAGTTTCACTTGAATACGAATTCTCTGTGAAGCATACGTACAGAATTTTCGAATATCTGGAGAATAAGATAAAAAAATCGACCATTTCAAAATTTGTCACTGAGAAAACTCTATTCTTCCTGATCAGCATAATTATCGAGAACGAGTTCGATTGAAGATTTAATTACCTTCATGATTCACTATCTTAGATCAGATGTGAATGATATTTTAGGCGAACAACGTAGTATTGAAAATTGGAAAAAAAGATGTAACAAGTTCGATCTCGATACTTTCATATCTAGTTTGAATGGAGTTTCTATTATTTATGGTTGTCGAGATCATCGCGACACAAGATGACGAGCTGTGATGCGTATTTCTAGTTAAAAAGAAAAAAACTAGATGATATTCGAGTTTCACTCGTATACGAAATGCGATGCGAAGCAAAAATCCGGATTTCCAACGAAAAATCATGAATTCGAAGAAATCTTAAATACTTTTGAAGTAGCCATGGTGCTATTCATCACTCTGAAAACTCTATTCTTACTTAGCGAGATCATTCTAAAAGACCGATTTCGATTGATCGATTAATTATCTGATTCATTATCTTAGATCAGCTGTAAATGAATAAACTATAGTGGCCTAACATATGTCGATGACGTCATTTTAATTATCTCGAAACAAATTTCTTTCATTTTCGTCATTTCGGAACCCCGTTTGTGAGTGAACGGATGTTCAGATTGAAGATTCGAAAACAGGGGTAAGAAGTTCGATCTTGATACTTCGATCTCACGTTTTAACAAGTTTTCTATGATTCTCCGTTTTCGAAATCATTAAGACAGAAATTGAAGAAAAGATGCATACGGTCAAGTAAAAAAGAAAAAAAAACTCGCGACGGACTACATGAATACTGTGCTTCGCACCGCATTAAAAACCCATATGATATTACTGGTTCAGGGCTTTTGTTTTATAGCGTAACATCTGTGCATCCCATTCTTATGATTATGACTTCGAGTATTTGTGCTTCTGAATTCATTTAATATGTTTTATTTGTTTTCTTACCAGGAACAAAAAGACACACACGGGTCAACCAAATTATCTGATCAAGTGTCATTGACTTTGCAGAACTAACATTCTTTCCTCGTTATTATTCTCACTTTTTACGTATATTCATTCTTCATTCATTTGTTTTCTCAGCTTTTTTAATATTTATTCATGACACAATATTAAGAAAAGATTATCGAAAGTGTGCACTCTTTTATATATTTCAATTAATACCACAGTTCGCTTCTTGAGAACAACACTAATGACGAAAATTGAATAATCGAGATAAATTTTATCCATCGAACCGTGACGGAGATGAGTCGTAGGCATCATTTGTGCAGCTTGGAAATTTCTCACCATATATTTGCTTGCATGAGTTATATTAGCGGCTCGGTTCTTTTTCGTCCCTAGTCTTTCGGACATCGTGACGAATAACTGGATGTTTGGAACCGGTCTATAGAGCATAAAATCGTTTGTCCGGATAATCGAAGTGAAAGCTGTTGGAGAAAATGCATCCTATTCTGCGATGTTGAACATTGCGGAATCAGTTCCGCGCCTGGAATCAATTCCATCCAATTCCGCGAACTCGATCGTGATTTCCAGGAATTCCGTACCGGAATTACTTCCCACCCTCACGTATACTACTGTGATTAAAGATTAGCCTCTGGGATAAGTAAGTAATTCCGATACGGGATTCCGACAGTTGAGTCGAGAGGAAATTGCAAGGAATTCCGCCTGATTTCGGAATTGCTGAGAGTTCGGAGTAATTCCGTCTGGACTTAGTTCCAGAAATTCCGGAAATTGACGGAACTCGTTCAGTAACGACTATGCCTGTCATGTTCAATGACGATCGAGTTCTCGGAATTGGATGAAACTGGCTCCGGGACGAAACTGATTCCGCAATGTTGAACATTGCGGAACAGAATGACTGCTCAGTTGTTGAAGTGTTCGGAATGAAAAATACGGATGTTTGGAATGAGTTTGGTATCTGTTTTTTAACGCAGAAAAAGACTCATTCATAGAGTATATTTGGAATCGCTGAGTTTAGCCATCTCTCCTTGTACATTCAGTTAGTTTTTTAAAGTAGTGCAAAATTCAGCAATGCGCAATAGATCTTACAGATAGATAGTGTGAGTGAGTACTAAAAATAAATATGGCTCTGTTGTGTGCAGGCTACTATCTCAAACATGATTCGCCGAGACGGTGATTCGCGTAATACAATGAATTGATTCGCTGGTTCAAATAATGCTTATAAGTTGCCATTGTTCTTGAAAAAAGAAAGTATGTGTGTATATGTTCATTATTGATTGCATGTCTCCATGCTGATAGACGAAGGACTCTATAGTAATTATTGCTTTTACATAAATACCGTTGCCGAACCATTTTTGTCTGTCTTTTTATCAAAGTATTGCTGTAGTCTTGTTTTAGATGAGTATTATTACGAGGTCGAAGAGCATTCCTCTCACAGCAGCAACTACTTCCTCTCTTGCTCCTCCGCCTATCAAATACAATAATACAAAAATACGTGGTCGAGCAAAATCACGGTCGATTGTGTTATGCGGTGAATGATATGAGCTATATGGGACTTGTTTATGCTCGAAAAAACACAATCACACAGAATCATGCACAAAACAACCACGAACAGAACAGAGAGTGGAGAGATAAAAGGAACAATGGGATAACGGAGGCTATGATTATGTGTGTATACGTGTAAATAAGAGATGGCGTAGTGATCTGACGAACAATATGAATCACAGTACCACCTAACACGTCTCCCATGCTAAAACAAAGCGTTCACACATTGAAAAAACGAACAAAAAATGGAAGAGAAAAAAATCACGACCCAAAAGCAAACAAAAACTGTATGTGTGTTTTGCAGGGTAAAAGGTGATAGTAGTAGCCGTTATTTGCATGAAAGAAAAAAAATGTGAATAATTAATATTTGGTGGTAGTGGAACTAGTATTGGTGATGGCGCCTGATAGTGGAGAAGAACGACGACGAGTAAACGTAGCGGCCAGGTATTGATAGATGCCAAAAATGATGATACCAAACAAAATAAAAATGAGAAGGTAATCACGCCATGAATGATGGAATTGGTTAGTATGCGATTCAAGCGTAGCATGTACATGGTTGATGATATCCACGTGAACGCTGGCTGATGGAGAAAGAACCATGGTTCGATCAAAGAGGAAGCACCCTCTAGGTGGAAAAACGATGAATAATACTACAAAATGATCAAGTAATAAGGCCATGGCTGTGACGGAATGGAATGACCGGCAACAGTAATAGTGAGGGGTGGGCGTGTGTATGAAAAGCAAATGCACACCCACATCCACACCCATGTTCGAGAGAAAGGGACTCGACTTTCTGGATCGCGAAAAACTGAAACATCTCGCTAGGCAGTAAGCCCATCATATTGCCCACGAGCAGTACGGACCGAATGGCACATTGGACTGGCAAGGTGATTAATATGGACCCGGTGCTGGTGTCTACCAGCAGCAAGGAGGCTGGAGTCTATTCAAGAGAGACGTCCATCATTTTTGCAAATTTTCTATCTGTTTCATGGATGAGGAATGTGTGAACATCAAACCACAACTGTTTTCAAAACACAGCCGTGCTTGTTTTTGGATAGACAGTCGATATACCGCCAATATCAGACGTCATAGTGGATGATTTTGTGAAACTTTGCATGAGTAACACCTGAATTTGCAGTATCTTCCAATTCTTACGCACTGTAGCAAAACACTAGTAGATCTCTTGTATTTATATATGTGTGCTTACGACACCCAATCATTCAGCATTGTCGATACAATCTAGTCCTCCGCGCCTAACGATCTGACTTCGGACCAGAGCTAGCACAAGTACAAGTACAGCAAGTAAAAGTATTTTACTTGTACTTGGAAAAGTGTACTTGTGCTTTTACTTGTCTTCGCACAAGTATACTTCTACCTGTACTTATACTTTGGGAAAAGTACTTGGTAGTTATACTGTGTGAGTCATAATAAATGCAACATCTAAATGTGAAGTACTTTTCTCTAAGTACAAGTAAAAATACTTTCGTCCGAGCTCTGCTTCGAACAAGTTGAAGAACGCATAAAATCGATAGCCTTTGATAGTATACGTCATCCTCACGTAATTTCTTGGACGCCTATAATGCACGCACTTCGTGAATGAATGTGCCCCTGCGGGCGTGGGTGTCTATTCTTCACCCACACCCACACGCCCATCCTGTGGTACTCTAGATTTTTATACAAGACTTTCGGCTTGTTTATCGTTTATCAATAGTATTATTATTGTTGACTAAAGTGAAATCTCTCTTACGAACATTGCATCAATAAAAATACTTTTACTCTTGAAAATTTTAATTCAGACTTTTTTCAT